TTAAAGTGTCCTGTTTAGCCTTGTCCTTTAAAACTATAGCTAGTCGAGGAGCCGTTGAAGGAATAATGGCTGTCCGGAAGGAGTTGCTGCTTGGACAATGGAAACTCTTTCCTTGTCATAGATTGTGCACTCACAAAAAGATGATGTTCCTCTTCAACCGATGAGCACGCGTTCGGTAGAGTGGTGATGATGTCCTGCCAATCATGCGAAGGAACTTCTTGGTGTGCGCGACATGAAGGCGTTTTCATGGGATGAAGTGTGGTTTGAGTGCGTCGGGTCAGTCCTCGTGGTACACTAAACTGGAGTCTGCGGTCGATGTCATGAAGCCGTTTGTAGTGATGCTGTGAATTAGATAAAAAAAGTGAAAGCCGTTTACAAATCCCTGTAACGCCGAATTGGAGCGCAGCTCTTGAGGAGGAGGAGTGAAGGGTACTGAGGGGAGGGTAGACCCCTCCTCCTCCCCTCATTCTTTAATATGCTCCGGGGGGGGCGGTCACGTGACCTCGGGGGGGGGGGGGTGTCACGTGACTTCGGGGAGGGGGGTCACGTGACCTCGGGGGGTCACGTGACCTCCCAAGGTCATCTCAAGTCACGTGACCCCCAGGTCACGTGACCTCGGGGGGTCACGTGACCTCAGAGGGGTCACGTGGGGGTCACCTTGGGGTCACGTGACCTTGAGATGACCTTGGGAGGGGTCACGTGACCTTGGGGGTCACGTGACATTGGGGAGGAGACCACGTGACCTCGGGGGTCACGTGACCTCAGAGGGGTCACGTGACTTGGGGGTCACGTGACCTTCAAAGGGTCACGTGGGGTCTTGGGGTCACGTGACCTTGATATGACCTTGGGAGGGGTCACGTGACCTCGAGGGGTCACGTGACCTTCGGAGTCACGTGGGGTCACGTGACCTTGAGATGACCTTGGGAGGGGTCACGTGACCTGGAGGGGTCACGTGACCTTGGGGGTCACGTGACCTTGGGGGTTACGTGACCTTGGGGATCACGTGACCTTGGGATGACCTTGGTTACGCCGACGGCGACGGCGACGGCGACGCCGCTCAAGCCGGGAACGGGCCCCTAAGAGCTGCGCTCTAAAAAGAAGAGCGAATACCGTATCCGAAGTAATTTGACAACCGCCTACCATCATGATCTTGAGTACGAAATAATGATTATAGATTCTTCAAGTCTTCCATTTTTGACTGCAATGTATGCATGCAGACTCACTACCCGCGATTTCACAATAGCTTGAAATCCATTAGAATATAGCCGTATACCCGGAGCGAATCTGAGTAAGGTATGCTCTTTTTTTTTTTTTTTGCTCTATTTTAATATGAAAACCTTAGCAAAGTGTTTGATAAAAACCGCGGAAAGTTCGCATTAAATCGTACTCCTTTAACACTCGACTCCTGAATAAATTTCTATACGTCTTGATCATTCCGATAAACCCAGTAAGCACATGAATGTGTCACGTTTGCAACGCATCCAAAACCACTCAAGGTTCCCCGTAACCAAGATTACAGAGTTTTCGTAGATCGTTTTCGCCGTTCCGCAAAAGGCCACAGGTTCACAGGCGCAGTAGCGGCTTCTTCATTGCGGAGAGCTTAGCGGAAGGGGAAACGCGGTCTACTAAAACTCCTTAATAACATCACTATAACGCACGCATAATGCACGCACGACGGATTCTGTGGTCACCTGTATTGTTTACATAAAATTGTTTCTGAAACAATGGAATCGTTCTGGGGGGAGGGGGGGGGGGGGGCATCGCTTTTTTTATTTTTCTTCTAGAACGACTTCACTGTAACTGCAGTTTTACCAGGGATTCAGGCAGTTCCGGACCAAAACCATTAATTTGGTCGTAGAGGTCGCCCTTGGACATTGAGAATTTCTTATCATAGATTACGTTTTGTTCGCAGGCTGGGCGCCTTGATGTCTTGTTCTCAAGCACAGCATGGCTTGTATTTTTTTTTTCGTCCCTGCGGGAGGGAACGCCCATTATTGAAGCCTACAGGGTACATTAAAAACCGCATAAAAGGGCTCGCGAGGAGTCGTAACGTTACCTATATAGTTCGATTGCCTAGTACGTTAAGAAATCGTTGGGATATGTTCGAAGCGCGTGATTCTGTGGATATCAATAACTGTGTTGTATGTATGTTTGGACAGCGGAAGGTTAGTGAGTTTTAGTAGGCGTCTGGAGCCTTTGCTGAATATAAGAGGCACTGCAGTAGCTTTGCCGGCGTTTTAGCTTAACGCTATAAGTTGGCACTGGGAATAGCGCTGACCTTGATGACGTAGCGGTAACTTCGCTAACATTTTGCGCTAATACAGCACTGCATCAGTGCTAAGTTGCGTTCAAGTCTGCGCTCCAGTAGTGCTGCTCGTGGTGTTGATTTAGCGCTGCGATGCATATGAGAACCGGCCTTTAACGTGCACCACGCAGTACCATTAGTGAGACACGAACGCACTTCGCCACGATGCTCGCCCAGATTGAAACGGGCAGGTGTGAGGATTAAAATTAATTGAACTCCTCACCCCCGGTTTCTGCAGCGCGAGCTTCGACTCAATCTACTCCGAGATTCGGTGCGTTAACGCATTCGGCCACCGATCCTTCCTGAACGTCAATCGGTAGTGAAGGTGGAATAGGTAAACTTAAAAGTATTTGGTTTTGTTGTTGCTCTAATTTTCTGGGTTTTTTCGCGGGGGGGGGGGGGGGGGGGGGGGTGCGCAGGTCTAGTCTCCTAGGTGGTAGTGGTGGTTCTTGACGCAGTCGGTTGCACTAGGCTTAAAGATGCACGGGAGTTCACTCATCGCCGCCGGTAGACATCTTCGAAGGCGTGCTGCGGGAAGCCGTAACTATCTATTCCTTTTGTTTCTTCTTCGAGCCGCACTGAGGGAGCGTCTCTGACTGATCACGAGATTGCGCGGGGGTGGAGCTCCGTGGGCCATTCTGGACACGCGGGCGCGTGAAACAAGAAACTCGTTCCGATTTCTCCGGGCTGCGCTAAAGGGCTGCGCGGGACAATGCGCCCTTCCCCCCACCTCCTCCCGTTAACGACTGGCCCGAGATGACGACGCCGATATTAAACTGAGGCCCGGCGGAGGAGAGGGAGTCCGACACGCCGCGGGGAGAACATAAAAGGACCTGGGCCGGTCGAGTCTTGATGAGAAGAGGTCAAACAGAGCGACTCATTCGTATCCCTTAACGCATCGTCGCCATGAAGTCTCCGGTGAGTGGTCCCCCATTATCCATTGCCGCGATAAAGACTTTGACGTTAGTGGTTTTGAATAAAAAAACTCCCCAAAACAAAAACAAAATATTTCTGAATATATTTGAAGATCTTTTAAAATATATCCACTCCGCCTTGGGGAGTTCCGACTCCCCAGGTCCGTTAGTCGCCCTTAGCGGTCTGTACTACGATGACTACTGGTGGCGACGGTTCACATTAGTTTCCTCAGCGATCGACTAGCCCTTATTCAGTTCAGTTGGTAGAGAACTCCCCTAGTCCTGGAGAGGACCCGGGCTCAACATAGAACAAGAGGATATTTTCACCAGCACAACCGTCACCTATAGAGGCCATGTCCGCTGTCGGGTGGAGGTGAATTTATTCTGAACGATATAAACTATTTTCCGTGTCCATGCACTTCTTTTTGTGTCCGGGTGTCCTTCTGATTGATAGTACTTGATGATTAACGCATCCCGTAGCCAACCGCGATGGAATCGACTTATACTAAAACTCGAAGCGTCTATTCGAGGCGTAATACCACTTTACACATTGTTGGAATCTGTGGGTAGCAAAATCTATACGCGCTCCGCTCCTGGCCCAGAGTGCAACGCGCGCGATGACGGATTTATGGATGTAGCCTATTGGTTCGTTGATACCAGAGGAAAGCAGATTTGGGGTTTTGGTTTTATGTCCCGAAGTAATTTTTCTCAGCTCGCCAAGAGAGTGGTCCACTCGAAAAGCATGCCTTTGAGCACAAGTAGAGCTTGTGCTGACATGTGTGCCTATCCAGAGGAAAGAAACCTTATACCATCAAGGTTGTATAAAATGTCTGGAAGAGGTCCTGCGTAATTTAGGCTAGCCTAGAGTTAGCTGTAGGTGGCATTGACAGGTGACAAGTTACGTGCTCGTAACTCTCTCTCTCCCTTCTTACCTCGTTTATTTGCGTCCCCAGATTAAAGTATTTTCCTGATTACGTGGCTTTATGAGTTTCGCAATAGTCGAGTTTGGGGGAAGGAGGGGGGGGGGGGGGTGCCACTAGGGCATGAGACTGGTGGATAGCAAAGCCAACGATTACAACGTCCATGCTAAACACATTAAGACATTTCCATAGATTATATCCTGCAAATTGCGGGCCCCGCGGGCTCGTACAAAATCCATGCCCAAAATTATGGCGCTGGCTTCTGTTAGCAGCCCAAAGCTCTTGTGTGCGATCTACGAAAATTCCCTATCGAAATGCCCGCGAAGACCGATGCCTGGCAAAACTCTCCTCTGGACATGTATATCGTGACTGCTTGCAGCACGATGAAGAGCCCTACCACACTAATTGGTTTTACTGTATGTATATTTCAGAATTCTGGCTCATATGTGGGCACATGGGCCGTACACTCTACTGTAAACTTGATAAAGTTGGGACGGCACGTGCTTGCTCATACGAGCAGCGAAATGATAGCCGCCAGACGCCCCGCTTGCAACTGACTACATAGAAAAGGCACACATTAGGTCGTTGGTATTTGTGAGATTTGTTTGTGCAGGGTGCTGTGGCCAAGTTTCCTCTCCTGAAGCGCGAAACGCATGTACGACGAAACCGTCCTATCCGACGTCCGACCGCGCAATACGACGGTCGGAGGCGAGGGTTTTCAACGCTCTCCGATGCTACGAAAACCCTCTCCCCCCAAGGTCATTCCGGCAGTCCGCACGTCGGATCGGACGGTTTCGTCGTACATGTGTTTCGCGCTTTATACAGTAGATGGCGTGCTTTCCTTTATCTTATAAGTATAATATGGCAAATTATATATGCGTGAGCGCGCTCATTCGTGTAGTAACCAATGAAATATCACATCACAAGAATGCTGACCTTAATTTTTGCTTTTTTTCTATGGCCTTCAGATTCTCCTAGCCTGCATAGCCCTCCTCTCGGTGCTTCGTGCCAACGCTGATGGAGCTAGCAGACCGGGAGCCAACGCACCAGCCGCCTACATCGGAGACTCCTACAACAGCCGCTACATATATGGAGGCTACGACGCCGGTCGCAGGGGGTACACCGACCCGTACTACAACAGGGACTCCTACTACGGATCCAGCGCAGGACGATACAGGCCTACAACCCCTCGCAGTCCCTATGGCTACGCCCCACCTACGTCAAGCTACGCGGGCACCGCTACCTACCCAGGCTACAATGCCCGCTACGACGGACGTTACGATGGCAGCTACGGACGCAGTTATGATGGACGCTACGACGGACGCTACGGTAGCTATGGGAGAGGATACGATGGACGCTACGACGCTCGTTACGGTAGCTATGGGAGAGGATACGATGGACGCTACGATGCTAACTACGGTAGCTATGGGAGAGGTTACGACGGACGCTACGGCAGTTACGGACGCGGCTACGACTACTCTGGAAACCGCATCGGACGGTCGTACGATGCTTCGTACCCGGGGTTCAGGAGCAACTTGTTCGACGACCGTTACGACAGCTACATGGGACAGCGGGGATTTGGACAACTCTTGGGGCGTTACGCGCGTCGTACGGCCAACGGATACAGCTACGACTATACCCTGCCCAACGGGCACGTGTACGGGTACAGCGGTTACCGCCGCTGAAACGATGGCAACACTTTTCTCGTGTAACGCAGCTTTATCTCACCTGAGTCGTGCGTCCCTTGTATGGTGTACGGGATCTCGTACCAACACGGCTTTTTGCCGTGAAATAAAGTTTTCCTTTTAAAACGTGTTTTTCGTTTTCTTTTTTTTTATATTTGAAGACAACGTTATAAGGCATGCAAGCTAGTTATGCGATCGACCAAAAACCGAGACGAAGGCAAGGCGGACAAACGCACTCATTTTTTACTTCTCAGGTTTTAGTGTGTTCTCTTCGTATCTTTGTGTACGCAGCCTTAAGTTTCTGTCCTTTATTCAGTAAAGCTATTGTCTGCCACGCAGCAATACCACCTATGTCTGCTTTCACCTCAAAAAAAGAACAAGTTTTGCGCATTGTTCATACGTGGCGCGTAGTACTACTTACGAGATCTGGTTGTCGGGTGAAAAGCGATTTTTCCGTTTGAAACGTGTACGTCTTGATAGCATAACATATATCTAAACTTTACCTACATATATCTTAAGTATTCACATAAAGGGGGAAATTAGTAATGCTCCACGACGAGCCGGACATTTTTTACAACGGTTCTTGAGGTGAACACGGGCGTAGAGAACAAGGCCTGCGCACGACGTCATCGTTAGTGGACTCCCAACCCATCCCAAGCGGCACACATGCTGAAGCTCGACGGCCACTAAACGACAGGCACGCGTGTCTTGGCGTTGCTGCGTGCTCGTCGCACTCGTTGTCAGACGGGCTCTAAGGAAGTCAGTTTCGTCGCGCGATGTCCTTGGGTTGCCGAGCCCTTTACATTCCATGATGGCATGTTCTTGTGTTTCAATTTCCTCTTCGCATTTATTTCACGCTGTGCCCATCTTTTGATATTTTACTCTGTACGCGTCCTAGTTCTCAGCGCCCATGTCCTTCGAACCTAAAATCCGGGTATACATCATTCAAAAGACAGTCTGCACAAACAGAATTAAACGTGAGTCACCGTGTGATCTGTGCCTCGAAGGCCGCGTGACAAGGAGTTCGGGGAAAAACTCGAACAACGGATATTACAATAGAGAGTTTTAGTAGACCGTTTTCGGTTTCCCGCTCCGCTCTATTGAAAGCGGAGTCGCCATCGCGCATGCGCGACCCGCTCTGGGATTTGAGCGTTGAGCGTCAGCTCCGCTATCGTCGCCATTTTGAGAAGTACGTTCCACTCTCAGTAAAGGTTCACTAGATGGTGCTTTTCTGGAAAGGTGGGTGCTCGCTATTTGAAATCATGCTTGGGAGCGCGCTTGACCCTTATGAACCTCGCTGCACTAAGAAGCTGCGCAGACTTTGTTTGAAAAGGCGTCCCCCAGAAAATGTTTCACGGTAGTCAAGAACCTCTGGCTGCTTCGAGAAATCGCTGGCCGCAATCCTTTCACGGTCCCTGAACGGTGGGAACAGGTGCTGCCTTGTCTAAGCCAGCGGGCTCGATTTTTCTATGCGAGATGACGACGGCGACGTTGAGAGGATGACACACCGGACGACGGCGGTGTCTCAATCTGAGCCCTGGGCCTCGGTTCCTCGGAGGCGGCAGCTTCTACTTCGGCTGGACTACCTCCTTGGAGCATGATTCTTTGACCCCAGTGGACCCCAGTGACCAATAGCGCCATAATTTTCCTGGTGCTCCCTCATGCACTGATCGAACGGCGTGCAAGATCCTCATAGCTCGCTGCTCACCCGCCCAACCCGCCTCCACGAAGTCTGTGTCGTGATAATTCGGATTGACCACACAGAGAGAGACAGAACAGCACCAGCGAGCTGGGTTAAGCACGCGCCCCCAACTGGCTGCCCCCTCTCGGGGTTTTATTGAAACGCATAAACGTGATTATCACCACATCCCCCTTTCTTTACAATGGGCTTGAAACTAGTTTCTGAATCTCTGGGGCCGAATGATTCGTCGCCCAGCTCTAGTGAGAGTGTAGGGCTCCTCTTTCCTTGTGCCGGAGTCGATGACAGATTCTTCCGGAACGAGAGCCGTATAGCTGGACCTCCCTCTGGGTCGAGTACCTGTTCCGATGTCGGAGTAGATTCTTCCGGACCGAGAGCCATAGGTGAAACTCCCTCTGGGTCGAGTACCTGTTCCGATGTCGGTTCTTTGTCCTTAACGCACGGGGTCTGGACATTCTCGCCTGGATTGATCATTTGTTCGCATATCGTTTCTTCGTCTCCATTGTATCCGGTTTGAGCACTCTTTCTCGGTGTTTCTGCTGGGACTAAATGATAGGTATTCCGGACGAGTTGTCTAGACGGTGTCTCCACCACGAAGGATCTCGGGTTGTTCGTTTTCCTCACAATCTGCCCCGGCGTGCCAGGGTCTCTGACCCAAACAGAGCCACCGATGGACGGCTCCTTGTGGCAGCTTACTCCGTGCCGTTGATTGTATCCTTGGGCCTGCCTTCTTTTCTCTTCCTTATCTTTTCTTCGGAAATCCGCGTGGTTTGGCATTTTAGGGGTTAACATGGATGGCAACATAGGCAAAGTTGTACGTAGTTGCCGTCCCATGAGTAGTTGAGTTGGACTATATCCGCAGGGGCCTGGTGTAGTTCTGTAGATCAGAAGTGCCAGCTCTGGGTCTTCTGCCTTTTTCAGGATGTCTTTGGCAACTTTTACCATGCGTTCTGCTTCCCCGTTACTCTTGGGATAGTGTGGGCTGCTTCTTATGTGGCGAATCTGGTACTTTCTTGTGAATTCGTCAAAACTCTTGGACGCGAACTGCGGTCCGTTGTCTGACCTGAACACCTCCGGTATCCCATGGCGGGCAAACACAGACTTTAGGTCCGCCACAATCGCTTCCGATGTTGTTTGCTTCAGCAGACACACTTCTATAAATCTGGAGTAGTAATCTACAACTACAAGGTAGTGCTTGCCGTTCAATTCAAAGAGGTCGGCTGCAACACGTTGCCATGGATAGTCGGGGAGCTCCGATGCTATCATAGGTTCCACTTTTGGGATGCGCTCTTGGATGCAGCTTGTGCAGTTGGTAACCACTTCTTGCAACTGAGTGCTGAGTCCTGGCCACCACACTGACATTCTTGCTCGTTCTCTGCACTTGGACACTCCTTGGTGCCCTGCATGTAATTGACACAGCACTTTCTCTCTCAATGACTTCGGGATTACTAGCCGATTGTCTTTCACGAGGAGGTCGCTCTGTACTGTGAGGCTGCCTTTATTCCTGAAGTAAGGAGCGATCTCAGGTGGGATGTCCGTCTTGTGGGGCCAGCCCTTTGCACAGTACTCTCTTAACTTGCAACATACAGGATCTTGACTCTGAGCAGTGCGTATTTCGTCCAGATAGTGACTCGTGTAGCTGGCAGGAAGCTTGTCACAAGCTGGACGTACGCCTCTAACTCCTCTTCCATCTTCTCAGGGGGCTCTACTGGGGATCTCGAGAGAGCATCTGCCGTCCATAAATCCTTCCCGGGTACATGTTCTATGGAGTAGCTGAAACGCATGAGTCTGAGCTTGAACCTCTGGATTCTTGCAGGAATGGTATTCAACTCTCGGACACCCAATAACGCAATTAGGGGTTTGTGGTCCGTTTGCACATGAAACTTGGTTCCTATCAGGAACTTTTCAAAGCGTTCGCATGCCCAAGTGACCGCATAAGCCTCCTTTTCTATTTGCGCGTACCTTCCTTCCGTCTCACTCATTCCTTTGGATGCAAAAGCGACCGGGCTCACCAGTCCTTGTCAAGCCCATTGTAGAGAAAGGGGGATGTGGTAATAATCACGTTTATGCGTTGATGAAACCTCGCTCGTTCGTAAATAACGTTTCTTTTTCCGATGCAATGATTTTGGAATACTTCCAGCACCTTTTCTAAGTCCACTTTGTCTTCTTCCGTCAGCGTTGCTGCGGCGAGTATGTCCTCGGCATCTCCCCCTAGGCAGTAGATTAGAGCGTCTACTTGAGCTGCTCCTTCTTCCTCCATGAGTCGCGAGACCCTTCTGTACCTGAGGAAACGACTGGACCAGGCCGTCCACTCCTCTGGGCGTTGAAAATCGAACGCCGTCGGTGGCACGAAACCGAAGGCTGGCCTGGGGTGCTATGTTGCGCTTTTTGGACTCCCAGGAGACTTGGAAGAGGGAAGTGACGTCAACGACTAGAGCAAACGCAGATTGGATGTTGACAGAAGAAAACGAAATCAACACCCAATCTGCGCTTGCTGTGTCGTTGACGTCACTTCCCTCTCCCTAGTCTCCTGGGAGTCCAAAAAGCGCAACATAGCACTCGCCCGCCGCCATCTTGACCGGTTGCGGTTAAGTGTTCGCAGCTAGGCTTAGCTCTTTGCCTCTGACGTACCCGGACTACCCGACCGTTTTCTTTCTTCCCGGTCGGACGCCTCTTCTGCTGTGACCGCCGCTCGTCACGCCTGCCCTTTTCACTGCTGTGGCCGCTCGCATCCCACTTCTGACACCATGTCGTGATAATTCGGATTGACCACACAGAGAGAGACAGAACAGCACCAGCGAGCTGGGTTAAGCACGCGCCTTCAACTGGCTGCCCCCTCTCGGGGTTTTATTGAAACGCATAAACGTGATTATTACCACAGTCTGGACTTCTGCGAATCGGACTGCCACCCTCCCCAATACCAACAACCCATGTCGTCGTCATCTTGCACGTATATACACATCACATTACCATGTTCCCTAGACGCGGCACCACGGGCCTCGGTGGTACGGGCTGCTGCTTTCCGCGGTGCCGCGGCTCTCCAAAGCCAAAAATTAAAGGTTAAAGACCAAAGACTAAAGCAGTCGGCAAACGGACAGATATTTTGTTTGGTTACTTCAGGCAGCAAGACAGTGAAAATTAGCGAAAGCGAGTGCTCCATTTATATCTCTACTTTTTTTTCCAATGAAATGAGTCTTTTCTTCTTCGTATGCTTCGGTTTGTGATATGGTGCCTTGGTATTTATGCACACTGCGCAACACTGTTAGCGGGAGCATTCAATAGCCTGTTTTCATTTTTCACC